CTCAAGTTCCTCCTCTTAAAAAATGGAAATAACAACCTCACTGATAGATAAATAAAGTCACCTTTGGAGCCTCTCCCCCGCCCGCCAGCTGAGTGCAAGCCTTTTACAAATGGTAATTCCCTCTCCACTTCTCTGTGATCCCGGCCTCAGGATCCACCCCTAGCATCACTTTCTCCATGAGGAATCCCCTGGATGGCCACCATCCCTACCCCAAACTGGGCGTGGACTCTCCTTCCTAAATCCCTTTGAAAACGCACGCTTCACCCTTGGTACTTGGTTTGTTCTAAGTGGCCTCATATACGTTTAGGTCCCCTTCTAACCTTCCTGTGGGATCATACACCCTTCCGTGGCTGGGAACCTAATGAATTTCTTGGTGCATGTGAAAGGCCAACAAGAGGACAAGGGGTGCTACCCAGAATTTTCCGCTTGTCCCACTTCTCCTCATGGATAGTACCATCCCTGTGGTCCGTGTATATTAGATATTCAGTGCTTGTTCAATGGAATGGCTTTGTCCCCACATGCCTGCTCCTGTCCTCCTCTCTTTGGCGCTGCAGAAGCCCAGGATCAGAAGGCTTCCCACCAGCCAACCCCAAAGCACTGCTGTATCTCACCGTGACCCCTTTTTGCTCCAAGGAATGAGTCACAGTGCGAGTGAGCTAGACATGGCAGCTCAGTGCTGGCTCAGTGGCTGCTGCAGTGAGTTGTTCAGCCTTATCCTTGCTGTCTGGCCGAGCTGTCCCAGTTCTGGGCCTCTCAAACCACCTGAGCCACCTCAGACAAGGCTGCCTGCCACCATTGCCTGGTCTACAGAGAGGGTGGGTCTCAGGGGAGATAGTTTTCTTGGTGGGACCTAAACCATCTAGTACAGTGGTTCTCAACCTTCCTAATGCCGCGACCCTTTAATACAGTTCCTCATGTTGTGGTGACCCCCAACCATAAAATTATTTTCCTTGCTACTTCATAACTGTAATTTTGCTACTGTTATGAATTGTAATGTAAATATCTGATATGCAGGATGTATTTTCATTGTTACAAATTGAACATAATTAAAGCATAGTGATTAATCACAAAAACAATATGTAATTATATATGTGTTTTCCGATGGTCTTAGGCAACCCCTGTGAAAGGGTCGTTCGACCCCCAAAGGGGTCTCGACCCACAGGTTGAGAACCGCTGATCTAGTAGAAAAGAAAAACCCTTCACAGGAGCCAAGGAAAGACTGCATCATGCCTGGACAAAGGGGACTTAAAAGCATTTGTGGAATGTGCCTTAAAATATAAAAAGCGACACTTCCTGAAAAGCAGAGTGGCAAGGTTCAGTAAAAGATGTAACCCCCCCATACTGCCTCAAACTGGGCAGCCTGGAGATTAGAGGGAGATTTCCTCCCCCCCCCCCCACTCCCCACCACAAACCCCACTCTGACTTTGTAACTGAATCTCAGTCTTCCCATCCCTAAAATAAGATTGGACCATATAAAGATGATGGGTCTTCCCAGCTGTCGTTGCATAATTCTTCAATTAAGCTGGCCCACAAAGGGCCCAGCAGTTAACAACTCCAGCTTGGGAATCAGCCAGATATGTTCTAGCATCCTGCTTATACAAATTGCTAGCTGAAAGCCTTGGGGCAAGACTGTTTTTAAGATTCCTCAGCCTCAGTTTTCCTCATCTGTAAAATGGCAATGGTGATGATCCCTCCCTGACAGATTGCCCTAGGGATGAAATGGAAGAAGGCACGGAGAGTGTTAGCACTGCATGTGGCGCATAGCAATTGTGCAAAGAAGGAAAGCTGGGATCACTATTATTCAAGAGGGGTAGGCGCAAAGCATTGTGGGAGCATGAAAAAGAGTCTGACTAACTCTGCCTGGAGGTGGGAGACAGTACAGAGTTGGAGAGTATTTTATAGGAGTCAGGACACTTCAACTGGGCCATAAAGAATGACTAATTCACCAGGTGGCAAAGAGTGCCAAGAGAGAATGATGCAGGCATAGGGAAAGGGCTGGCAGAACAAGCAAGCTGGGCGTGGTGGAGCTCAAGGGCACTGGGTGGACCAGCTGTCCACCATTACCCAAGCTCAGCCCTGTCCTGCTCTGCTCTGTTCTCCCCCAAAAGGTCTTTCATCAATTGGAAGCCCAGCTGAGAGTGGATAATTTGTTCATGACCCCAAAAATATTACTATATGCCAGCAATTGTTCTAAGTTCTGGGGACAGACGAGTAAGGGAGTATAAACCAATGAACGACTTGGGAAAGTACAGAATTTCAGGCCACGGTCAGTGCTATAAACCCAGTAAAACAGGATAATGGGACAGAGAACAGTCCACCAGAGTGGGCCCAGGGCACCTACACTTTCACTTGGGCCTTAATCACAGGAGATGGCAGGTGGGAGGGGACTGTTCCTTTTTTACCGACGAGGAAACAGAAACCCTGAGAGGAGCAGTGATCCATCTAAAGCAGCGGTTCTCAACCTGTGGGTCGAGACCCCTTTGGGAGGTTGAGAACCACTGATCTAAAGTCTCACAGCCAATAAGTGCCAGAGGCAGATAGCCTCATTCCACGAAGAAGAGTCAAAATATCCAAGATGAGCCCTGACCGGTTTGGCTCGGTGGATGGAGCGTCGGCCTGCAGACTGAAGGGTCCCGGGTTTGATTCTGGTCGGGGGCATGTACCTTGGTTGCGGGCGCATCCCCAGTGGGGGGTGTGTAGGAGGCAGCTGATCGGTGTTTCTCTCTCATCGATGTTTCTAGCTCTCTATCCTTCTCCTTTCCTCCTTGTAAAAAATCAATAAAATATATCTTTAAAAAAAAAAATCCAAGATGAGAGACTAACGGGTGGGGGAGGTGGGGGGGGGGGGGAAGAGGGCGAGCAAGTAGCAGCAAAATAGAATGTATAGTAGGATCCCAGTTTTATTTTTTAAATGTTTTATTGTTCTCATATGGGGGCAGGGGGAGTCTAGAGAAATGGACCCAAAACTGTTTAGAGTTGTTATTATCTCTTGAGAATGAGACTGGGGGGGGGGGGGGCTTTTATTTTCTACATTAAATATTTCAGTAATGCTTGAATGTTTTACAACAACGTACATATTACTTTTGAAAGCTGAAGATAGATTTTTTTTAAAAGGATATCAGAGAGCGTGGGCACACAATCAAACTCGGAGCCCACCTTAATAAAAGACAACCTGCACAGGTGGAGAGAAAACCACATTTGGAGCGATCTGAACCAGTGCCTGCTTGATTGGAACAAGTGAAAACAAGCCCAGCGGCTGAGGCTGGTGTGTTGGGAAGGATTTCTGGGCAAATGGGGGTTGCTTTCCCACTGACATCATTGCACTGGAAGTGAAATGTCACTCGCAATGGAAGGCCAGGTTATACTACAGACTGGGGGTTTTAGAACAAGTAATGGATGGGACATATTTTCAAGAGAGAATAAGAAATAAAAAGGCAGAAAAACAAAGAGGGAGAAAAAGAAGGGGCACGCAGAGAAATAAAGAGGCAAGAGCGCTCAGCTTGGGTCTTCACTGGTTCAACCAAGAATTCACTGTGAGTCCCTTTCCCTCTCTGGAGCAGCATTCTCACCTGTAAAAGGGGTGGGTGGGCTGTACTAGATGATATTCAAGATCTCTCTTAGCGCCATTATTCTAGGATTTAGAAGCAAGTGAAAAAGAAAAAGGAAGGAGGTAGAGGAGCAGAAGGGGAGAGAAACGCAGGTGGGCAGAAGCAAATGCTAAGGAGGAATGATGGGAGGAGGAAACCAGGAGAGAGAGAAAGGCGGGCATTCCCCAGAAGAGTTGGAGTCTGGTTACCTTGTTGAAAGCGCAGAAGGAAGGACTCTCACATCAAGAATTAAAAACAATAAAAGATTCATCCTCAGGCCTCCAACTTCATGTGCCCACGGGTGGGAGCCAGGGCTGATGTCGGGAGAAGCCGCGGCTAATGTCTGAAGAGCAGGGACCTGCGGGGAGGGAGGATGCTGCCCTGTTCTCATCTAGGAAGGGGGACAGCTCCTCTCCTCCGGGCCTGACCATGGACAACAATGATTGGCATATTCCTGGCCCTGAGAGAAGTCCTGGGGGAAAGACTAGGGAAATGTGCCCAAGGGAGCTACCCCTGGGACATTTCTGCACAGTGTCCGGTGCCTGGGAGGACTCAATCCTGGGACCCATCAGACAGAGAAAATCGTAGGACAGAAAGAGTCTTCAAAGGTCTTCTTCCTCCTTCCTGCCTCTAAGCATCCCTTCCTCAACCACCTGGTGCCATAGACCTTAGCACAGATGAGACTCAGTCCCCTTCTCCAGTCTTTTCATAGTGTCTGAGCCATCCCAGGCCTCAAGCCCTTGGCCACAAAGACAGTGCCCCCAATGCCTGGTTATACTTAATCCCCATGGCACAGTGCTGGGCACACAGTGCGCTCACCAAACCCATCTGATCACTGGTCAATAGGGTGAACTGGCTCTAATCTCTCCCCAATCATATCTATTCTGTTGCTTACCATTTCTGTGTAAACATCCTTTTGTTTATACTGCACTGCCCTTGTTTCAAAGTCCTGCCTGAGGGGGCAGAACCTGGCAGACACCTGCCTCTGCAGAAGTGAGGTGGACACCAACCCTACAGGTGCCATCTCCAAATCTGTAATTGACCCCAATGAAGACGGGAATAGAGACTGCCACTCTATAATGAAAAGCACAGGTGTAAATGCAAGACCATAGGTAACTGTTCTCTTAGCATATGGTGAGCCACTTCAGAATACCAGTTTCCTGGCTAAACAATTTATCTGAATGTTCTGCCCTTCCCAACAATCCTAAAATTAGAATTAAGTATTCCTAGTTTACAGGTGAAGAAACTGAGGCCAAGAGAGGTTAAGCAACTTTCAAGGTCATACAAATAAGTAGTTAAGTCACCATCCCAGCCTCTTCCTCAGCTGGTTCGTGTGTATAGCGTGCTACTAAGAGTTCAGTCTGTACAATGTACATGAATACTTCAGTGACAAGAAACTCACCAACTCCAGAAGGCAGCCTCTTCTCTTACTGGGTAGATCGAATGGTCAAAATAGTCCTTCCTCGCATGCATTAGGCAGCCATCTCCGTCTTTGAAAGTCCCATCCACTGTCCCTGGTCACCTAGAAGGAATCAGTGAGCTGTAGAAGGCACCTAAACCATGGGATCAGAAAAAGCTGGTTCTATTCCTACCCTACCACCAACTAGCCATCTAACTTTCAGCCAAGTCACTTCTGCCATCCGTGCCTCGATCGCCTTATCTGTACAATATGTATACAAATTGGTATCCATAAAGCCTTTTGGAGAAAAAAAAAAAATAAGTAATATTTGCTTATAAGGGCTTAGCTCAGTGTCTGGCAAATGGTAAATACTCATGAACATTATTTTATTCAATTGAATCCCTCTTCCCCAACAGGGATTTGTGGAAAAGAATCTGTCTGTCTTCCCTGAGCCAAACAGTCAGGGAGTCTTTCATTATTCCTTACAGGTCAATTTCAAGTTTGTTTACCAGCCCAGTTGTTCCTTTCTGGATCTGCTCCAGCCTGTTAATGTCCCTCTTAAAATGCAGGACCAAGGATGGAATAGAAACAATTAGCCAAAATTTGAAGTACAGCCCATATGCAGTGTTTCCTGCCATACCTGACTCTTTGAGTCTTTAGATTTTTCTAAGTTCTTCAGAATTACTGGTGTAACCTAAACTGGCACAAAACTGTAGTGAAGAATATTTGAATCTGATGAACAGGAACTTTCATTTTTATTTGTAATACTGGCTAACATACAAAGTGGTCTCTATGTGCCTGGCATTGTATCAGCACTTGACGCCTATTTGCTCCATTCACCCCAACAATCCTAGGAGCGCCGTTATTACCTTCGCTTTATGATGCATAGGTTCAAAGAGGTTAAGTGACTTGCAGAATTAGATTTGAGTCTTCCATACTACCCTACCTCTTGCATATGGGATGTTTATAATGTGTAAGAACTTTCAGAAATAAAAAGTTGAGTATGACACAAAGAGAAGACATAGGCAGGGAAATGTAATCATAATCATAATCCTATCTAATAAAAGAGAAACATAGTAATTAGCGTACGACCGCTACCCTTCCCATTGGCTAATCAGGGCAATATGCAAATTAACTGCCAGCCAAGATGGCGGCCGGCAGCCAGGCAGCTTGAAACTAACATGAGGCTTGCTTGCTTCAGTGACGGAGGACTGCAACGTTCCCCGCCTGCCTTGCCGGCCTCTGAGCCTGCAGTTTGAAACATAGTTACAAATATAGAAGTTAAACAAAACCCCAGAAACCTGCTTTCAGCCAGCCGGGATCTCAGAGCTGGAGTTGATACAGAGTTTCGATTATAGAACCGAATACCTTCTTTCAGCAGCGGAGGCCTACGAGCTGGAGCCTCAGAGCTAAAGCTGGCCCAGAATAAAAAAAAAAAGAAAAAAAGGAAAAAAGGAGCGGTTGGGAGCTTTCATCACCCGCCAGCCTGAAAACAGCCCTCAGCCCCTCACCCAGACTGGCCAGGCACCCCAGTGGGGACCCCCACCCTGAAGGGTGTGTGACCAGCTGCAAACAGCCATCATCCCCTCACCCAGGCTGGCCAGGCACCCCAGTGGGGACCCCCACCCTGATCCAGGACACCCTTCAGGGCAAACCAGCCAGCCCCCACCCGTGCACCAGGCCTCTATTCTATATAGTAAAAGGGTAATATGCCTCCCAGCACCGGGATCAGCATGACAAGGGACAGCATCCAAACCCCCTGATCGCCCTGCAGCTCTGTGTGTGACAGGGGGCGGGGCCACAACCTCCCTATTCGCCCTGCTCTGTTCGTGACAGGGGAAGGCGCCCCAACCCCCTGATCAGCCCTGCTCTGTGCCTGATAGGGGGGAGCTCCCCAACCCCCTGATCACCCTGCGGCTCTGTGTGTGACGGGGTAGAGCCATAACCTCCCCATCGGCCCTGCCCTGAGTGTGAGAGTGGCAGCGCCCCAACCCCCTGATCAGCCCTGTTCTGTGGGTGATAGAGGGCGGCACCCCAACCGCCCCCCCCCCCACGGGCCCTGCTCTGTGTGTGATGGGGTAGAGCCGTAACCTCCCCATCGGCCCTGCCCTGAGTGTGACAGTGGCGATGCCCCAACCCCCTGATTGGCCCTGCTCTGTGGGTGTTAGAGGGCGGTGCCCCAACTCCCCTATCGGCCCTACTCTGGGAGTGGCAGGGGGGAGCTCCTCAACCCCCTGATGGGCCCTGCTCTGTGCATGACAGTGGCGGTGCCCCAACCCCCTGATCCGCCCTGCTCTGTGTGTGACAGGGGGCGGTGCCCCAACTCCCCTATCGGCCCTACTCTGTGAGTGACAGGGGGGAGCTCCTTAACCCCCTGATGGGCCCTACTCTGTGCATGACAGGGGGGAGCTCCCCAACCCCCTGATGGGCCCTGCTCTGTGCGTGACAGGGGGGAGCTCCCCAACCCCCTGATGGGCCCTGCTCTGTGCGTGACAGGGGGGAGTTCCCCAACCCCCTGATCGACCCTGCTCTGTGGGTGACAGGGGGTGGCGCTGCAACCTCCCCATCGACCTGCCTTGAGTGTGACACAGGGTGGTGCCCCAACCCCCCAATCGGCCCTACCCTGAGCGTGACTAAGGGTGGCATCGCAACCTCCCAATCCGCCCTGTTCTGCGTATGACAGGGGGCAGCGCCCCAACTCCCCAATCAGCCCTGCTCTGAGCCCAACCAGGGGCTGCACCTAGGGATTGGGCCTGCCCTCTGCCACCCAGGAGCAGGCCTAAGCCAGCAGGTCGTTATCTCCCAAGGGGTCCAGACTGCAAGAGGGCACAGGCCAGGCTGAGGGACCCCCCTCCCCCCCCCCCGAGTGCACAAATTTTTGTGCACCGGGCCTCTAGTAATAATAATAATAATAATAGAAATGCAGTGCCCCATGTGGGACCGTGTACAACACAAACAATCCTTCTCCAGGCAGCCCCCGCCTCAGGAAGAATTAAGTTGTAGTGAGGAGCAGAGTCCTGGGGTGGGGAGCACTCCTTTACACAGACAGAGCTTTTCTGCCTTAGAAATATTCATACCCTTTGACTCAGCAAAATTTTGCTCTGAGGACATGAGCAGAGGTTTGTGACCAAGGGGCTTTTCACAGCATAATTTATAATAGCTAAAAATTGAAAATGATATAAATGCCCATCAAGGGAGAGACAGCTAAATGAATACTATTACAGCCTCACACTGGCATAGGCAGTCGTTTATAATTGTGTTTCTAAAGGTTTAATAACAAGAGAAAAAAATGCTCATTTAGAATCTTCGGGAAAAAAGCAGAGGGAAACTGATTATAACCTTTAGAAGAAAAAAAATTAGAAGAGATTTACTAACATGTTAACAGTAGGTATCTAGATAATGAAATTTCCAGGCGCATGTTATACTCTTCCTTGAACCTTGTTGTATTTTTCCAATGTGCATTTATTGCTCTTGTTGTCAGAGGGAAGTGTTATTTTTTTAAGGGTGGAAAGAATCTGAGGGCGGCCAGCCAGCTTGTGAAGCGCAGACTTTGCCACTGGACCATCTCCATTTGTGCAGCAGCAATTACTGCTCTGTCGCCATCAGATCACCTTAATCCTATTGATTGAAATGCCAAAGCAATGCTATTAATTTACTACTTACTCTGAGCACAGCGGGATGACTCCTCCAGGTGGGAGAGGGGGTGGTCCTTGAAGATTCTAGCACAAAGCACAGAGAAGCCTCTAGAAGTTCATAGACTAAACCCCCATTAGGTATCCTAGATCAACCAAGTCCCTCATCAATAAAAATCACATTTACAATTTGCCAGGCACCAACGTAAGCCCTGCAAAAGAATGGTTTATTCTTTACTGCAACCCTATGAGCCACAGCTACCCTTGCCCCCATTTAACAGATGCAGAAACAAAGACAGGTAGGGTCAGTAACTTGTCCAAGGCCTCAAGCTGGTCAATGGCAGAGGCTGAATTTAATGGGAGTCCATGTGCTTCCCCCTGGAGCATGCCCCTGTTTCAGTCCAGAAATGTTTTTAATTGTGTAGTGTCTTATACTTTCCTCAACATGATTTCAAATAGTAATTTATAAGTTAGAACAGGAGGAACTACAACAATGCATGTTCGAGTTGAGTGAGCTGTTCTAGCACATTTGAACAGCTGCTCCAAACCTTATGCCAAATTCTACCTCCTTTAGATTCGTGTATCCACTCTGCCACCTAAGCACCTTGATGCCCCTGTTTCAGTCCAGAAATGTTTTTAATTGTGTAGTGTCTTATACTTTCCTCAACATGATTTCAAATAGTAATTTATAAGTTAGAACAGGAGGTGTCTACACTTAAGGATAGTAAAGGATTTGCTCAAGGTCGCACAAGACAGGATCAGAACAGGCAGAAGTGGACTCCACACCCACAGCTTGTCCCGTGCCCTGGGCTGCGTCTCTCTGCCTCTGTGACATGCAACAAGAAGCAGGAGGCCATGGATTTGGGGCCCCTGTTTGGTCCCCCTGTGAGCTACAAAGAGGTGGCCCTGCCGGAGAATCCTGAGGTGTGGGGGAGAAAGGAAAGAAACCACAGAAGGGAAAGAAAGACTGAGCAGTAACCCCTGTGGTCCTTTTGCCCCCCTTCATCCTGAAACCAGGAAGGGGCACTAGCCACAGTTCCTTATCCTTCCCTCATCATCCATCTACCTTCCTTTCATCTCATTAAGTCCCACAGGCTTCACTCACACGTCTTCTCCTACATTCTCCTCTGTAAATACTCCTTGCAGAAGCTTATACTAAACCACAGAGCAGCAGGAACTACAACAATGCATGTTCGAGTTGAGTGAGCTGTTCTAGCACATTTGAACAGCTGCTCCAAACCTTATGCCAAATTCTACCTCCTTTAGATTCGTGTATCCACTCTGCCACCTAAGCACCTTGATTAGGCTTTTAACCTCTCCAGGCATCAGTTTCCTCATCTGAAAAATAGACAAGACAATGGTACCTACTTCATAGAGTTGTCGGGTGGATTAGTAAGCAGGTGTGGAAAAGCTCGGTGCATGGCACCTAGAGATCAATCGTTGGTAGTGATTGCTATTATTGCTAGTTCATCTATAAGTCCGTTTCCTCGT